TTTTACTTGTAAATTGTTGAGGGTAGATATTTTAATGCGAATATTTGGGGATGAACAAAGAACCGTTAAGAGATTTGCCACTTCGCTTAAAAAGGCAACGAAATTCACCCTTATTTGGATTTTATATGATGCCTTTTTTGTGTGCCAACAGCGTGTATAACAGGGGTGATTAAAATTTGCAGACGTAGTCCAGCATATTTTAAAGGTGCGGTGTTTTGGATAGTGTACGTAAGTCAAGATAAAAAATCAAAACAAACTGATAAAGCATCGCTAATTAATGATTTGCAGGTGGCCGCTTTCAGTATTCTTACCACTAAACATTTACTTCGCTGCATGCTTAATGACATTGTTACACGTTTATTGTAGCAAAGTCTAAATTACCAGAGTTATTCTCCGTTAATTGATACCTTCATTGTAAAAAGGGCAAAATCGGATATCAAAGAATCAAACAAAATACATTACTTTTTTCCATATTTTGTGGATTTACTTGTTGTTATATAGACGCTAGTTGGAAGCATTTATGAAATGGCAATATGAATTCTGCCGTAACTAAGATAAATATGGATCTGCACATATCTCCAAACGGTTCTGCATTATTCGAGTGACGATGCTTGCGGCACACTCTCCCTAAGGCACAGGATTGCTGCATACTACACTTTTACATAGCAACATGTTTTTTCCTAGGATGTAAATGGATTGGCCTGGATTCTATCGAGTTGCCAAACAGGGTATTGAGAAAATGAACATCAGAAATGATGCCGATGCACTCTGCCTCACTCAATCCTATTTCCTTACCTTCTACTTCATTGCTAAATAAAATACCACTAGAATCGTGGCCCGAATAACCTGGTGAGAAGCTTACACGCACATTGAATCCTGTGCTACTAATAAGTCAACTTTTACACCAATTCCTTCTATGCCTCTTTTACTAAGCAGTTAACTGGTCACACAAAAGAACGTCAATTTATGCGCTCAAATACACTCCACACCTACAACTACAACTGCGTGTGCAACCAGTTTTGCATCTAGCGCCATCCTTTTT